GTGCCTAGCACAGAGGGAGGGCTCCTCTACTGTTGACCCCAACTGAAGCAGAGTCAACCCGGTCTTCATAGTGGTTTTCCTGCCTGGCCTGGGGACTGCAATGTCACAGAAGCCAATGCTGTGACTTGGCTGGTGGAGGTTCTCCACGTGGGTGCATGAACGGAAGGGGCAGCGGTACGGGGGATTTTGTAAAGACAAAACTGACCTGGCTGATAGAAGCTGTTTAGTTTACTAACTTCTTTTCTTCTACTAGCGTGACATATGCAGCAAACCAGGTGACTGCAAGTGTCTGTGGGAAGAGGGTATTAGTGCCCCAGGGTGAGGAGTTATTGCAGTAGGAAGACGGAAAGTGAAGCTAGAGGTTGGGGAATGGAGGCAGAAAACTTCTCCTCAGGCTAATGGTTTCTCTAGTGCTGTGCAAGTGTCCTTTTAAGATTCTGGAAAAATGGTGCCAGGGAGGGTGGCTGAAGCCTGTAATCCCAGCACTTCAAGAGGCCGAGGCAGGAGGATCAGCTGAGGTCCAGAGCCAGCCTGGCAAACATGGTGAAACCCTGTCTCTACTAAAAATACCAAAATTAGCCAGGTATTTATCTTATTGGTAAACCTCCTGTGCCCTGCCCATCATTAAAAAGCTAATTAGTGGTGGCGCATGTCTGTAATCCCAGCTACTTGGGAGGCTGAGGCAGGAGAATCGCTTGAACCTGGGAGGCAGAGGTTGCAGCCAGCCAATATTGCACCACAGCACTCCAGCCTGAGCTATAGAGCTAGACTCTGCACCCTACCCCCACAAAACAAGACTGTTAAAATGAAAGGAGGAGGAATGAACAGTAGGTCCTCTTTTATGGATTTCATGTGTGATCTCTTGTTAAAAGAAAGCTCTGCAGGAAAAGAAATTCCTCAGGTAGAATAGAAACCTGGTAATCACACACGTGTCACAAATCTGATCTATGATGAAAATGAACAGGTATGGGAATGATAGCAGGAGTAGTGCAGTAGAGCATAAATACTTTTGACAGATATCCAGATAAGCATTTATCTTATTGGTAAACCTCCTGTGCCCTGCCCATCATTTAAAAGCTAAGCCAAGGCTAGGCGCATGATGGGTCCTGCCTGTAAACCCAGCACTTTGGGAGGCCGAGGCAGGCAGGAATTCGAGACCAGTTTGGCAAACATGGTGAAACCCTGTCTCTACCAAAAATACAAAAATTAGCTGGATGTAGTGGTGCATGCCTGTGGTCTCAGCTACTTAGGTGGCTGAGGCATGAGAATTGCTCGAGCTTGGGAGCTGAAGGTTGCGGTGAGCTGAGATTGTGCCACTGCACTCCAGCCTGGGCAACAGAATGAGACGCTGTCTCAAAAGAAAAAAAAAAGCTAAGCCAAAGGTTGGAGGAGGGAAGGTGGGTAAGGTGTAAAGAATGTACAGCACACAATAGTGAAGGAAATTAAAGCTCTTAAATGAGCAGAAAAGGAAGAACATGTTGAAGTTCTGAGTCATAAGGGCCAGAGCCCCCACCAGTCTTGGGGTGATGGTATCAGAAGGGGAGAGAGGTTGGGAGACTACATTAATGGAAGCTCCTGAAAAATTTGGGGGTGTCCCAGAGAAGAAGACAACACTAACTAGCATCCCAAAGGATACCCAGAGAGATTGCAAAAATCTCAGAGAATTGATACGTCCCCTCTCATCTATAGGAGGTGGCATGGAAGAAGTGACCTTCTGTGGTTAGGTAGAGAGAGAGAGCCTGAGTTAGCAAGTCCAGACTTCTCTTGTGTGGTATGGAAGTACCGAGAAGCTGTCATGTGTCCTGAGGAGAAGCAAAAGATAATAGGGCTGTGTGGTAGAGCAGGAATAACTGAGAAGGTTCTTTATCACAGGTTAGGACCACCAGTCAGAAGCATCAGTTCTCTTGAACCCGGAAGTCACAAGTTTACCAGCTACAACTCAGCAGATTCTAGCTAGGTACTCAGGGGCCAGATGAGCTCAGCTACATGCCACCCAGACCTAAGGACTCAAATCTGCATGTAAGAATCTGAGGCCTCTTTACCCACTGCCATGTGGCTATATATTCTCAGTAACATCTTGGAGATGATCTGGGGGAAATGGAGGAAATCTAAAAGTGTGAGTGTCTTAGTCCATTTTCTGCTGCTGTAATAGACCACCATAGACTTTGTAATTTATAAACAATAGCAGTTTATTTAGCTCACAGTTCTGGAGGCTGAGAACTCCAAGAGCATGGTGTGGGCATCTGGCGAGGTCCTTTGTGCTACATCATCCCATGGCAGAAGGCAGAAGGGCAAGAAAGTACATGTAAGATTAAGAGATAAGAGAAGGCAGAACTAGCTTTTAAAACAAACCCACTCTGGCAACGACTAACCTACTCCTGTGATAATGACCTTAATCCATGAATGATTCATGAGGTCAGAACCCTCATGAACTAATCAGCTCTTAAAGATACCACCTCTCAGCGCTATTGCATTGGGGATTATGCTTCCAACACATGAACTTTGAGGGGTACATTCAAACCATGACACTGAGCATTTACCCAAAAGAGAAATGAATGATTTCTTTTTGAGACGAAATTTCGCTCTTGTTACCCAGGCTGGAGTGCAATGGTGCGATCTCGGCTCACCGCAACTTCCGCCTCCTGGGTTCAGGCAATTCTTCTGCCTTAGCCTCCTGAGTAGCTGGGATTACAGGCACGTGCCACCATGCCCAGCTAATTTTTTGTGTTTTTAGTAGAGACGGGGTTTCACCATGTTGACCAGGATGGTCTCAATCTGTTGACCTCGTGATCCACCCGCCTCGGCCTTCCAAAGTGCTGGGATTACAGGCGTGAGCCACCGCGCCCGGCAGAAATGAATAATTTAAAGAGATTATTTAGGTCTGATGCAATAGCTCATGCCTGTAATACCATCACTTTTGGAAGCTGAAGTGGATGGATCTCTTGAGGTCAAGAGTTCCAGACCAGCTTGACCAACCTGGTGAATCTCTGTCTCTACTAAAAACACAAAAGTTAGTTGGGGGTGGTGGCGCATGCCTGTAATCCCAGCTACTCAGGAGGCTGAGGCAGGAGAATCACCTGAAATGGGAGGTGGAGGTTGCAGTGAGCCAAGATCATGCCACCACACTCCAGCCTGAGCAACAGAGGGAGACTTTGCTTTAAAAAAAAAAAAAAATTGTTTAAACCGGAGGAGACTAAGATACTGTAAACTGATTAAATTCCCACCTCAGCCACCCCTGCTATGTGGAGTGGGACCTCTGATAAAGATAAGATGAGCTACTGGAAGTAAAGAAGCCCTGTTCTTGTGTATATTTATGTTGGATGTATGTAATATTTTTGATCCCACTTATTTGGTTGTTTTTTATTGGTAACATATGGATGATACTTTGTCCAATATCAGTCTTTCTATCTTTACATTTTATTCTGGTCTATAATATGGTACCAAGACAAACATAATACATCATGATCCACTTTTTTTTTTTTTTAGCACATTAATGTGACATTGAGTGGCACAATATTTCAAGGTCTTCAAGCAGCACAATGTAGATCCTGTATGACAGTGAGGGGTATCGCTTTAAAAAATTTCTCAGAGGTCTAAAAACAGAGAAGAAGGGGAGAAGATATAACGCAGCCCTTCCCCCAGACTCAACTCACTAATCTATGAATTTAGTATCTACTTCCTAACTCAATAGAAAGCAATACCTAGAAACATTCTCTATGACTCTGATTAGACGGCATAAAGCAGATGCACTAAAACCCATGCCCTTTGATAACAGATCTTTGGGTCCTTATTTACTTTTACTGCATAAACAAGGCACTATCTGATTTCTAAGCCAACAGGTGATGAGCAGCAACCAATAGAATAGAGGAAAATATGGAGGGGTCTAGGAATATAATAGACTCCCTGAAAGCAGTCCTGTTAGAACAGACAATCTGATAGGAAGATAGAGGAGAAAAGCCAGATAATTAGAGACAGAAGTTCAACAAGTACAATACTGTATTAATGCCTGGTTCAATAGCTGTAGATAAGAATGAATTAGAAAAAAGGAGACTTAAATTCGGGTCCAGGGTCTGTTACTAATTGGCTGGGTAATCTTACCTTTCCAGAATTAATTTCTTTCCCTGAGGCACGTAAAATGAGAGCCTTGGCTTAGATCTTAACAATGGATGATCCCCAAAGTCAGTACTTAACCAGAGGTAAGTGGGAGGGATGCCTAGCTCAGTCTTGGGGAAAGGAGATCAAAGAAGGCTTCTCAGAGGAAATAACATCTTAACTGAGACCTAAAGGTCAAATTAACCAGGTGAAGAAACTGTTTTTTGGTCAGTGGTGATGCAAGGAAAAATACTGTGTGTTGAGGAAAAGTGTGAAGAAAAAAGTGTACAGAACAAAGATGAAAAGAGAGAGGGTTTCTGCCATTTTGGTAGCTGCAAGGATTGCACTGTGCTTGCAGCATGGAGCTCTGTTATACCTGAGCCAGGTAGAAGGAAAGCGCCACACTCTGAATTGTTCTTTATTGCTGGCAACCGAGAGTCAGCTCATGCTCAAAAACCTCTCGGCCTGATGAAGGGGAGGTAAAGTCTTTTATACCCATTTTTTAGGCGGGGGAGTGGGAGCCCAGCTGAAGTGGAATTTTACAGAAGCAGAACAAGCAAGTTAAAAGGGAGAGCTGGTTACCAAGAGGAAAACTGTTCTCATGATTGTTGGTTACTAAGCGGGGTAATCACAATGGCTGGGGGACTTGCTAAGCAGAATGTGGTTACAACAGTTACAAGGTTCTGGATACAGCGTGATCCAGCCGTGCACCCAAAGGGGGAACTGGAGGGGAGGGTGAGGCTAAGACGGAGTTGGTCAGGCTCATATTTAAGATGGAGTCTGTTTGGCTCACTTCAGCTCAAAGTGGAAAATGATGGGTGCTGTGGCTGGAGATGTGAGCAGGACATGGATCAAGATGTTGGGTTAAACATATACATTTGTCTCCTTTTTTTTGGCAATATTTCTAGCAATGGCACAAAGGATGTACATGTATGAAAAAATCCATACTTCTACTGGAAAAGGAGGCAAGAAGGGGTCCCATCAGTGGTCCAGAAATTATGAGGTATCTTTGGAAGACAAAAGATGAAGATTGATGAAGGACTCAACAGCCCAAAAGACACAGGGGAGAAAACTGATACAAGTAAGCATGGCTCCTGGCATCTGACAAATTCAGAGGCGATGCCTTGGACGGGGAGCGAGCAGGGTGTACCTTGTCCTGTTAGGGTGATCATGTTGTAGAACCAAACTGGGGTCCACTCACCTGGCACAGTAAGACCAGATATCCACACTGAGGTTTTGCAGTGGTAGGAAGGAAGGCATTTGTCTGCATGGCACCAAGCAAGGAGGAGGTAGCTTATGCTTCATTTCCAGCTTCCCTCATGGCTTGCAGGTAAGGGTTTTAAAGGCAGGGGTAAATATCAGGAAAGCGGAAGTTACAGACAAAATTGTAAATCAATGCATGGAGGTTACACATTGGGTTTAGCCTGTTAAAGCAAACTAAAGATGGCCGGAGAAGGACTCCGTACTTCTGTATTTGGGTCCTTGTGGACGACCTGCAACCTAGCGTGATAGGCAGACAAAATTGAAAAACTAACATAGGAATATGTGTCTGTACCAATAGCTGAGTCTTGACCAATCCCAGCAGCAGTACTTCGACCACTCACATTGCTGAGTGTTCAAACTGTGTTCAAATAAGGCAAACGCTGAGCTGTAACCAATCCAGCTGTTCTGTACCTCACATCCAACTTTTGTACGTCAGTTCCCTTTTTTTATCTTCTTTCACCACGTGGCTGCACTGAGGTCTCTGAATCTGCTGTGATTCTGAAGGCTGCCCAATTCGTCAGTTGTTCATTGTTCAATTAAACTACTTTAAATTTAATCTGGCTAAAATTTTTTTTTTTTAAGCCAAAAACGGCAGGATATCTTGAAGCAGGGGCTTAAAAGTCGGGGTAGATTCAAAGCTTTTCTGATTTGCAATTGGTTAAGGAAGAGAGAATTGCAGAAAAGAATGCAAGCTCTGGCCTGTGGGTGTGACTGCCTCCAGGCCCTTCAGGAAGAAATCTAGAACAAAGGTGGTCAGGATTCAGGCCTCAGTTTCCCCTTAGCTGAGGTCCATTTCCCTGCAGATCTGTTTGGTAGGGGTCTGGGTTTCTGAGTAACAACTTGGAGACTTATGTTAAAATGTTATCTGGCTGGGTGTGGTGGCTCATGCCTGTTATTCTAGTGCTTTGGGAAGCCGAGGAGGGCAGATCATGAGGTCAGGAGTTTGAGACCAGCCTGGCCAACATGGTAAAACCCTGTGTCTACTAAAAATACAAAAAATTAGCTGGGCACGGTGACAGGCTCCTGTAATCCCAGCTACGCAGAAGGCTAAGGCAAGAGAATCACTTGAACCTGGGAGGTGGAGGTTGCAGTGAGCTGAGACTGCGCCACTGCACTCCAGCCTGGGCAACAGAGCGAGACTTGGTCTCAAGAAAGAAAAAAGTTATCTTTAGTTTCTCTAGGGGAACCAAATATCCCATGGTTCTAAATTCCGTGGCAATTGTTTTAGAATACCTTGTTGCTTATCAAGTCGCTTACTTACTTCTCAGGGCTGCCTAGGTGCTTAGATCTTTTCTAGAAGAAATTCAAGATACTCCTTTATTTCCATGCTTCTGTGCAGGGCTCTCAGGTCCCTGAGAGGGAGGCCCTGCTCCATGTCAATTTCCTGGGGAATTCTACCTGGAACATGCCTTTCTTCTTATTTTGCTAGAAAGCAGAGGCATGTACCTCTGTTCTGGAGGTGCAACTGGTAGAAAATGAAGTCTGAAGGGCAGAAAAACATTCTAGGTGTGAAAGGAATACATTCGAGGTAAAGTGAATTGATGGAGTGGGCTAAAGTGGTTGCGGTGGTCAGGAGGAAATGGCTAGGAGTGGTCAGATCTGGAATATGCCTGGGGGTAGAGAGGGGAAGGATTTGATGAGGAGTTGAATGTGGGGTGTGAGAGAAAGAAAGAAGTCAGGAATGACTGCAGGGCTTTTAGTCTGTGCCTGAGGATCAGCAACAGTGTCATTATTACTCTGCATAGAATACAGAGTATGGGGCTGGCTTGGTGGCTCATGCCTGCAATCCCAACACTTCGGGAGGCCAAGGCAGGTGGATCATCAGGTCAGGAGATTGAGACCATCCTGGCCAACATGGTGAAACCATGTCTTTACTTACTAAAAATACAAAAATTAGCCGGGCATGGTGGCGCGCACTTGTAGTTCCAGCTACTTAGAAGGCTGAGGCAGGAGAATCACTTGAACCCAAGAGGCAGAGGCTGCAGTGAGCCAAGAATGCGCCACTGCACTGCCCTCCAGCCTGGTGACAAAGTGAGACTTCATCTAAAAAAAAAAAAAAAAAAAAGAAAGACTATAGAGTAAAGGTTTAAGAGCAGTAATAGATATCCTGGTAGAGATGTTATGTAGACAGCTGGATGTCAGAATCTGGAGTTCAGGGAAAAGGTTAGGGCTGGAAATACAAATTTGAGAGTCACTGGGATATAAATGGTTTATAAAGTCTAGGAACTGGATGATATCCCCTGGGCTTGGGTGCAGAGAGAGTACTGAGTCCCAAGACCCTCCATCATTTAGAGAACTGGAAAAGGAGCCCAGCGCAAGAGAGCGGTCCCCTGTATCTTCTGCGATAGTAATACAGAAGAAGCCCCTTTTTTGCCACTGCTGTTTGTAATCAGCTGTCCTGCCTATTGAATAGATTAAACCAACTTAAGCTTTTTAGAGTGTGAGAATTTGAAGAGGCACTAATCATCACGTGGACCAGTGTTTTGCACACTGTGGGTCATACAGGGTCAGGAAACCAGTTTATTGAATCCTGACTGGCATATTTAAACAAGTGAACTAGAATAGAAGACTTCAGAGTGCTGCATGTAGTAGAGATAAGCATTGTTTTTGGAGCTACTTTTTCAGTGTGAGAGTGTGTGTGTGTGTACTGGTCACTAGCAATTTTTCTCCTTTCTCTTTGGCCTCCAAGTGCACAGAAATTGAATTAATTATAATCCTTGGTTTGGGACACCACAGTATTGTCATGGTGCATAAATGACCAATGTCTTTTACCTATTATGCAGTATTTTAATTTAGAAAATAACATAAAAATCACAACTAAGAGCTAGAACATTTCCAATAATTTACGTTTGAAAACCCTCTGCCTCCCCAACCCAAGGTAACCATGTCCTTAATTTTATATTTATCTTTACCTTTCTCTTTCTTTATTCCTTTTATCTTTTTTTTTTGAGATGGAGTTTTGCTCTTGTTAGCCAGGCTGGAGTGCAATGGCACAATCTCGGCTCACCGCAACCTCTGCCTCCTGGGTTCAGGCAATTCTCCTGCCTCAGCCTCTCGAGTAGCTGGGATTATAGGCATGCGCCACCATGCCCAGCTAATTTTTTGTATTTTTAGTAGAGACGGGGTTTCACCATGTTGACCAGGATGGTCTTGATCTCTTGACCTCGTGATCCACCCGCCTCGGCCTCCCAAAGTGCTGGGATTACAGGCGTGAGCCACGGCGCCCGGCCTTCTTTTTATCTTTTTATGTGTAAACAATATATTGTTTAAATCTGCTTTTTAAAAACTTTTCTTCTTTTTTGAGAAGGGGTCTCACTCTGTTGCCCAGTCTGGAGTGCAGTGGTGTGATCTCAGCTCACTGCAATCTCTGCCTCCTGGGATCAAGTGATTCTCCTGCCTCAGCTTCCCAAGTAGCTGGGACTACAGGTGTGTACCACCACACCTGGCTAATTTTTGCATTTTTAGTAGATACGAGGTTTCACCATGTTGGCCAGGCTGGTTAAAACTTTTTATGATGTAACATTGAAGATATATACAAAAGCAGAGAGAGCAGTATAAAAACCCCTCATGTGTCTATCAGTTTCCATAATGACAAACTCATGAGCAGTCTTGCTTCATTTGTACCCCTGTTACTCCCATTGGAAGCAAATCTTCCCAATAACATATCGTTTTAGCCACAAATATTTCAGCATAAGGCTTAAAGAATACAAAATCATTATTATGTCTAAAAAATGTAACATTAAAAAGTATGATTAAGGCCAGGCATAGTGGCTCACGCCTGTAATCCCATCACTTTGGGAGGCCGAGTCGGGTGGATCACCTGAGATTAGGAGTTCGAGACCAGCCTGACCAATATGGTGAAACCTCATCTCTATTTAAAAAATACAAAAATTAGCCAGGCATGTTGATGTGTGCCTGTAGTCCCAGCTACTTGGGAGGCTGAGATAGGAGAGTTGCTTGAACCTGGAAGACAGAGGTTGCAGTGAGCTGAGATCGCACCCACTGTACTCCAGCCTGGGTGACAGAGCAAGACTCCATCTCAAGAAAAACAAAAATGTCATTGAATATCCCATTACTTTCAGAATCCCAATTGTCTTAAGAAGTCTCTCTTTTATGAAAAAAATCAAAAATTTGAACTCTGACCTGATAATTAAAAATAATGTGAAATAATTGTTTTTTCTTGTTAGTATGGTTGTTCATTTTATGATTATTAATATTTTGGTTATTTTTATTGTTTATTTTATTTTATTTTTTGAGATGGAGTCTTGCTCTGTTGCCCAAGCTGGAGTGCAGTGGTGCGATCTCAGCTCACTGCAACTTTGGCTCCCAGGTACAAACAATTCTCCTCCTGTCTTGGCCTCCTGAGTAGCTGGGATTATAGGAGCACACCACTATGCCCAGCTAATTTTTGTATTTTTAGTGGAGATGGGGTTTCACTATGTTGGCCAGGCTGATCTCGAACTTCTGACCTCAGATGATTTGCCTGCCCGGACCTCCCAAAGTGCTGAGATTACAGGCGTGAGCCACCACACTTGGCCTATTTTTGGTTATTTTTTAGGAGATTCTTTATTTTATACATATCTGCGAATTTTGAATATGTATATATTCAGTATATACTTATGAATGAGATGATAGAATGTCTCGGATGTGGTTTGAAATAATACAGGTGTGGTGATGAGTGAGTGGGGTTTAGGTGAAATGATACTGCTATGAATTGATTGTTATTGAAACAGAGTGACAGGAGTGTTAACTTTTATGTACATTTATATAACGGTTAACTTTTATATATGCTTAGATTTTTCTATAGCAAAAAAAAAA